GCTTCAGTCAGATCCTTCTTAAGAAAAGCAGGAGTCTCACCCCCAAGGCTTTGTACTTTGAGAATTCCCTTGTTAGGAAGCAGCCAGTGAGACCTTCAAGGGGCACTGGGGTGCTGAGACGGTGATGGGCAGGAGAGAAGAAACTGGAGCCTTTCCCCGAATTACCTACACATGTGTTTCCTTCAGCCATGTCTCCGCCTTGTCTCTTCCATATCTTGCTCAGTGTTAGGTTTGTTTAACAGCATTCTCTCTCTCTCTCTCTCTCTCTCTCTCTCTCTCTCTCTCGGTGCAGCTTCTAGGATTTTATTAACATGAGTTTTTATTTTTTTTTAAATTTCTTTTAATGTTTATTCATTATCTGAGAGAGAGAGATTGTGAGCAGGGGAGGGGCAGAGAGAGATACACAGAATCTGAAGCAGGCTCCAGGCTCTGAACTGTCAGCACAGAGCCCGACGTGGGACTTGAACTCATGAACCACGAGATTCTGACCTGAGCTGAAGTCAGATGCTTAACTGATTGGGCCACCCAGGTGTCCCTTAACATGAGGTTTTAAAAAACACACATCCCTACCACTGTGGAGCGGTGAGGGTGGAGAAAGAGGGGACGAGAGAGGAGGGGGAAGAAATTCTGCTCTACTGGTCACAAAGCTCTATGAGCATTTTCTCTTTTTTAACCATTAGAAAAATACTCCTTGCTCTGCTAGGGAAAAATTGTGGGGACTACAGAGAAAAAGAAGGAAAGAAAAGTGGTTGCTCACAGGCCTTCTATCCAGGAATAACCTCGATGCCTTTTTTTTTAAACTTGCGCTCACCGAGAGAAAAATAGAGGGTGCACACAGTGACCTATAACCCTGTGCCCCAACCCCACAAGGGCCCTAACCTGAGCCCACCTTAGTCGCTTATACATTCATTCAACAAATACCCCTGGGCCCATGTGATGTGCCAGGCACTGTGCTAAGTTCTGAGGACACAGTAGTGAGCAACACAAACAGCCTTGGCTCCCCACAGGCCTCTCAGTGGCAGAGGAAACAGGTGGTTAACCAGTCATTGCCATCACGTCGCCCTTATCACTCAAGAGCTGACCTCTGTGCTAACCACTTTGAATGTATTATTTTATTTCCTCTTTACAGCCCTGTGAGGAGATTCTATTCTCAGCCACATTACACCAATTGAGAGAATTTAGGGGGAAAAGAGCTTAAATATTTGGACAAGGGCCATAGAGCTAGTCATGGAAAAGCTGGGATCTGGACCCACAGAGTCTGATTCTGGAGCCGGGTGAGGATGAGGACGGTGGGAGACCCCGTGTGGCTGGGGAAGAGCTCCTGAGAAAGTGAGGCTGACCTGGAAGCACAAGACAGAAGCACCAAGTTCCATTCTTTCCTCCAGATGGCCCACCAGACTCCAGCATCCCTTCTCAGGATTCTCGATCTATCTTTGCCCCTAGCACGGCTCTTCCAAACCCTACATCTGCCATTCTCGCGTGCCTTCCTTTTCAGCCCTTCTATCCTGGGGTGTTTCCCCATCAACCCTTCTCAGATGCCCTCTGCACTCAAGCTTCCTTACCCAGGACCCTGCACTCTCTCTTTCTCTCAAGGCCATCTTGGAAATTCCTCTCCCTGCCCCCCAATTTTCAAACTTAGCCTGGAATTCTGGCTTTCCCAACACCAAATATTAATCACATTTCAGGCTAAAACTGCCGTGCTCAAGTTTCCACAAATTCCTGGGAGGGTGGGGCAGAGATGGGATGAGGAAGAATCTGGGACTTTTCAGCTCCCAGCCACCCCAGAAAGGCAGGGCAAGAGTCAGGCCTGAGGAAACTTGAAGAACCTGGCACCACCTCCAAACTGAGGTGCAGACCAAGCCTTTTCCCCAGGTGTAACTGACTCTCATTCCAAAGGGTCCACACCAGCCCAAACGACCCCAGGTTCAAAGGGCAAAGAGAAGGTGGGTGCTGATTGCTGGGTGGCAGATACCAGGGACATCTGTCACTGACTCCCATCTGCCTCTCCTCAGGGCTGTCAAGCCTGGAGAAGCACAGAAACACCCAGCAGGTGGCAATGCCTGCATCCACCTGCTGCAATGGAAGCCAGTAGGAGAGAGAAGCCCAGGGCATTGGCACAAGACTAAGTGGAAGACACACCCAGACTGTTAGCCTTGAATACTTCCTCTTTCAGAGGATTCCTCTTTCGGGAATTCTAACCTCAGGGAACTCCCAGAGCCTGAGGAGGAGGAGGAGGAGGAAGAGGAGGAGGAGCATGTGGAAAGGTGCTGAAGTCACTCAAGGTCTCATTCTAGGGAAAAGCCTAATGGAGAAGCAGAAAGAACTTTTAACAAGGTCACCTCTTCCTCTGAAAGCTGCAGAAGCCATCATAGCGGCGGCAGCAAACTCTTACATTGTGCTTACCATGCATGAGGCATTGCTCAAGAATGCTTTATACGCTTGAACTCAAGTCATCTTGGGTCCAGGACATCCTGCTTCACTGAGGCCTTATACAAGTGCTGGGCCCTGCTGCGAATCTGGTATTTTGATACCATTTTAATTTACAAAATCTGTTTTATCATCACATAATTCATTGATTCAGCATACTGAACATCTTCCAGATCCCACACACTGGGAAGACAAGTTTCTTCTCTTTAAGAGCAAAAAGTGTAGTGGGAGAGACAGGGAAATAAAAAGAACAGTCCATTACACAGGGAGAAGTGCTTTAAAGAAGGGAAACGCATGCTGTGGCAATATAATGGAGAGTTACTTAATGCAAACCGAAGTGTGTGCGGTTAGGGGTTATCAGAGGATGCTTCCTGGGGGAAGCGACACCTTGATTGAGTCTTCATAGGGGTTGAGTCTGCATAGGGGTTGGTCAAGGAAAGAGAAGAAAAATCATGTTAGACAGAGGCCTGGGGATGCCTGAGAATGGTAAGTCTGAGAAATACCTGTTGTTCAACATGGGCAGAATTTGGAAGTGGGGTGGGGAGGAGGGTGGCAGGAAGGCATGAGCAAGATTATGAGATCCTCAGAGTTTATACTTAATGGGCTGTGTCAGAAGATCATCACTGTGCCAGTCCCCAGCTGTCCTTCAAGCCACCCCAACTGATGCCACATGGAGTAAAAGCAAAATGCTCTTACCAAGCCACACCCAAATTGCAAATTCACAAGCAAATAAATGATTATTGTTGTTTGAAGCCACTGTTTTGAGATGGTCTCGTTTGAGACAGTCTGGGTTTTTTTTGGGAACAGATACTTAAAATAATCACTTCAGAGATGGCGTAGTGAGAGGAGGAAGAGGAGAACTAAGTGGAAAATGGCAAAACATTAACACTAGGGGCTGATATCTTGATCCTCCCAGGAGCCATGTTTGTTTAGAATCATGGATTGTTTGACCGACATCTGCAAGCTAATCATATTAGTTAATTAATATTAGTATGTGATTCTAGATGATACTAAATGGACATTAGGCTCTAACTGCAGGGAATATCCTTGGAATCTTGATATAAGGGCAGAGAAAGGGTACGATGCTAATACCTTACAGAGCATACATATACTGGTAAACTGATGTCAGCCTAAAGAGCAATTTATAATAGCTGGCCACAGGCCTCTACCCTGTCCCTTGACCTATTGATTTTTAGAGTCTAGGACACTGTGCTTATAAAAGTTGCCAGAGATATGAACCTTGGGGATTTAGTGGGCATATGAAATGACGGAACGAGGATCCTGAAATATTTTGACAATCTGGAGTAGTAAGTTTAATCCAACAAGATAAGATTTAGGAGGGGTAAATATAAGACTTTATGGTTGAATCTAAAAAGAAAACTTTCACAAGTATAAAATGAAGAAGGTGTGGCCTAGCCATGGGATATGTGAGAATAACATAGGAGTTTAGGCTTTGGGTTTAGATAGATGTACACTTACATTTTGGCTATACCGCTTAGTAACTGTGAGCCTTGGGAAATTATTTAAACCTCTCTGAGCCTTAGACTTACAAGTCATTCATTCATTCAATCATTCATTCATTCATTTTATTTTTTTAAAGTTTATTTACTTATATTTAGAGACAGAGAGAAAGCATGAGCAGAGGAGGGGCAGAGAGAGAGGGAGACAGAAAATCTCAAGCAGGCTCTGCATTGTCAGCAAGGAGCTGAACTTGGGGCTCGAACTCACAAACTATGAGATCACTGGAGCTGAAATCAAGACTTGGATGCTTAACCAACTGAGCCACCCAGGTGCCCCAAGATAATTCATTTAAAGGGTAATTTCTGGCACAAAGTAACTTTTCAATAAATGGCCAGGAAAAGATCTAAGCTGTTTGTAAAGGTACTGATGAGACTGGAGCAACCCCCCAATTCTTTACAGAATCTGGCAAAGACCTGTCCAGGAGAACTTTCTCTGATGAAAGAAATATTCTATAATCCATGCTGTCCAATATGGTGGCCACTAGCCACATATGGCTACTGAGCCCCTTGATGTGCCTATTGCAACTGAGAAATGGAGTTTTAAATTGTAATTAATTGTATTATATATATGGACATATATGCTTTCTTTTCTCTTGGGAAAATGGTTGGATCATGTTGTAGATGTCTGTTTAGGTTTTTAAAGAATTTTTGGTGAAGAATCTGTTCAAATTTTATGCTCTGTTTTCAAATTGAATTATTTGTTTCTTTTCTGTCTTTTTAAAGATTTTATTTTTTTAAAAGTTTATTTATTTTTGAGAGAGATAAAGAGAGAGAGGGAGAAAAAGAGAGAGGGGGAGGGTGAGTGAGAGAGAGAGACAGAGAGAGACAGAGAGAGAGAGACAGAGACAGAGGGAGAAAGAGAATCTCAAGAAGGTTCCAAGCAGGCTTCATGCTCAACATGGAGCCCGATGCCTGGCTCCATTTCACAACTATGAAATCATGACCTAACTGATATCAAAAGTGGGACACTTAAGGGACTGAGTCACCCAAGTGCACCCTGTTTCTCTTTTTTAATGTGAATCCTTTATTGTCCTGTAAGGTCATGGCATTAAGAAAAAAAATGGTCGCTTCACAGATTTGCACATCATCCTTGTGCAAGGGCCATCCTCATCATCTCTGTATTGCTCCAATTTTAGTACAGGTGTTGCTGAAGTCAGCACAAATTGTTTGTTTCTTAATGCAAAATGTAAGGGGTACCTTGTGTGTTTTCTGGATACAAGTCTTTTATCACATAGAATCTTTGTAAATATTACCTCCCATTCTCTGGCTGGTCTTTACATTCTCTTATTAGCAGTGCCTTCTAAAAAGCAGAAGTTTTTAACTTTGGCAAAGTCCTATTTACCAACTTATTCTTTTATGGATTGTGCTCTTGGCATTGTATCTAGGGGATCTTGGTTAAGCCAAAATCACGAAGACTTTCTCCCTGTTTTCTTCTAGAAGTTTTATAATTTTAAGTCATATACTTAAATTTCTGATCCATTTTTGTATATGATATGTGGTAGGGAACAAAAGTTATTTATTTGTGATGTTTATTTATTTAGTTCAGAGAGAGAGAGAAGAAAGTGAGCGGGGGAGGGACAGAAAGAGAGAGAGACAGAAAATCCCAAGCAGGCTCTGCACTGACAGTGATGTGGGACTCAAACTCATCAACCATGAGATCATGACTTGAGCCAAAATTAAGATTCCGACGCCTAACTGATTGAGCCAGCCAGGTGCCCCCAATCTGAAAAACAATGAATATCTAATTATTACAGCACCATTTGCTGAAAAGGCTATCCCTTCTTCACTAAAAGACTTTACATCTTTGTCAAAAATCAGTTATCCAAATGTATATAGGTATATTTCTAGACTCCCTAGTCTGTTTTACTGATGTATTTATCTTTACACACTGTCTTGATTACTATCACTTTATGATATGTCTTGAAGTCAGGTCATGTTAGTCCTCCACATTTATTCTTTTTCAAAGCCATTTCAGCTATTCTTAGTCCTTTGAATTTCATAAATTTTATTTATTTTTTAAAAATTTAAAATGTTTATTCGTTTTTGAGAAAGAGAGGGAGAACATAAGCAGGCGAAGGGCAGAGAGAGAGAGAGACAGAATCCAAAACAGGCTCCAGGTTCTGAGCTGTTAGCACAGAACCTGATGCAGGGCTCGAACCCACAAACTGAGAGATCATGACCTCAGCCAAGTTAGACATTTAACCAAGTGAGCCACCCAGGCGCTCCTCAGCTTGCCAATTTCTATAAAAAGTGTCTGTTGGCATTTTGATTAATATTTGCTGAATCTATAGATCGATTTGGGGAGAATTGCTGTATTAATACCACCGAGCCTTCTGATCCACAAACAACGTACATCTTTCCATTTATGTAGGTCTACTTTCTAGTTTTCACTGCAGGTTTTCATAACTTTTGTCAAACTTAAACTTTGGTATTTTGCATTTTTATGCTATTGTAAATTGCAGTTTTCAACTTCAGTTTCTAATTGTTCATCGTTGGTGTACAGAAACACAATTGATTTATGTACAACTAGAAATACAATTTTTACGTGTATTAATCTTGTATTTTGCTCTCTTGCTTGACTCACTTACTAGTTCCAGTAGCTTTTTGTAAATTCTATAGAATTGTCTACGTAGACTATGAATAAAGATAGTTTCGCTTCTTCCTTTCCAATCTGGATGCCTTACATTATTTATCTTTTTGCCTTATTGCAATGGTTAGAATCTCAAATACAGTGTTAAATACATGTGGTGAGAAGCAATATCCATGTATTGTTTCTGATACTGTGGAGAAAGTATTCATTCTTTTTTCATTAAGTACGATGTTAGCTGTAGGTTTTTCATAGATGCTCTTTTGTAAATTGATGAAATTCTCTTCAAATAATCACTTGGTGGTACAAATTTCACCCTAAGTATTGTTTTAGTAGCATTCTACAAATTATGACATGTAGTACTTTTGGAAGGTAGCTATGCTCACCACTATACCACCAACGCATGATGTGTAGTACTTTTGTATTCATTCAGTTCAAAACACTTTCCAATCCCTCTTTTGATTTCTTCTTTGATCCAAGGTGGGTTTTTTTTCCAGAATTACATGATTTACTTTCCAAATATTTGTGTATTCTTCAGATATCTTTTTCTTACTGATTTCTAATTTAATTCCATTGTGGTCAGAAAACACATATGCACATGTGTGTGTATGTGTGCGTGATCTTCAATTTACTTTTGACTAGTGTTAATACAGTATACCTTTTGGCATTTTCCACATTTTTTTTACATTTAACCTATTTGCATATCTAAAGTGTGTTCCTTGTGGACAGCATATGGTTGGTTTTGCTTTGTTTTGTTTGTTTGTTTTTAAATCCAATCTGATGAGTACTCCCTTTTAACTGGGATATTTAGAACATTTATATTTCATGTTATTATTGATATAGGTATAAGGTATAAGTATTGATATAGGTATAAGTCTATTGTCCAGCTATTTGTTTTCTATTTGTACCATCTGTTTGTTAATGCTTTCCCCTCTCTTTTTCTGCTTGATTTCACTGAGTTTTTATTATTATTCCATTTTATCTACTTTGTTGACTTATTACATGTAAATCTTTGTTTTGCTATGTTAGTGGTTGCCTAGAGTTTAGTATAACTCTTTGGGATATTACATGCTTCCTTCAGATCATGTTGTAACACTTCATGTAAACTATAAAACCATATGGTAGCAAACTTCACTTCTCCCTTCTCAGCCTGTATGCTATTATCGTCATATTTTACCTGCACTGATGTTATGAACTCTAAAATACATCTTTGCTATTTTGTAAACAGTCAGTTACTGTTTAAAGAGATTCTTAAAAGAAATAATCTGAGGGGTGCCTGGGTGGCTCAGTCGGTTAAGTGTGTGACGGCTCAGGTCATGATCTCACGGTTCATGCATTTGAGCCCTGCGTCGGGCTCTGTGCTGACAGCTAGCTCAGAGCCTGAAGCCTGTTTCAGATTCTGTGTCTCCCTCTCTCTCTAACCCTCCATTGCTCATGCTGTCTCTCTCTCTCTCAGAAATAAATAAAACATTAAAAGTTTTTTTTAAAAAGAAAAGAAATAATCTGATACATTTATTTATGTAGTACCATTTCCAGTGCTTTTTATTTCTTTGTGTACATTCAGATTTCCATCTGGTATCATTTTTCTCCTGCCTAAAGGACTTTAACGGTTCCTATAACGGAGGTCTTCTGGTGATGAATTCTTTTAACTTTTGTATTTCTGAGAAAGGCTTTATTTCACCTTCTTTTTTGAAAAATGTTTTCACTGAGTATAGAATTCTAGATTGATGCATACTTTTTTCGTTCAGTACTTTAAAGATAATAGTCTGCTGTCTTCTCACTTGCACTCTTTCCAATGAGCAATCTGCTATCATTTTTATCTTTGTTCCTCTGTACGTAATTTGTCTTTTTTTTCCTGGTCCCTTCTAAGCTATGTTTGATTAGGATTTGCCTTGGGGTCAATGTTAGGACTATTTTTCTATAGGATTATGCTATTCCCATTTTGCTACCTAATCCCCCAAATCATGTTGATAATCAAGTAGGACTGACGTAACCAAGAAAGCCATGTATATAACAATTAAAAAGGGAGTATACTTTTCAAAAATATTTTATTTATTTATTTAAAGTAAGCTCCATGCCCAGTGTGGGGTTCGAACTCATGACCCTGAGATCAAGAGTAACATGCTCCACTGACTGAGCCAGCCAGGCATCCCAGAAGAGGTGGTATACTTTAACTCAGGATTTCTAAAGGACTTGTGTGACAGAACTATTGAATGGAAAGAGAACTACATGCACCTTCCCAGTTAACTTGGCCAAGTAGGTATTCTTAATAGTAAAATTTTGATTGATTCTTCTACTATTTTCTCTGTGCCAGCTTTAAGACATGACCTTGCCCCAGATTCTTTAACATTCTTCCCACTGAGAACTGAGATCTATGTCTTCTGTGCTTGAATCTGGGTTCTGTGACCACTTGACTAGTGGATTGCAGCAGAAGTAACATCATGCCAATTTCTGGGCTCAGACGTTTAAGACCCTGTCAGTTTCTTTTTGTTTCTTAGGATGCCTGTTCTTTGATCCCAGCCGCTTGGCCATAAGTAGCCCTAAAGTGGCTGGAGGGAGGCCCACATGGAGACAAGGCTCACAGCCCATCACCTTGGCTGAGCTCCCAGAGAGCCAGCACCAACCATATGAGTAACACATTTTGAAAGCTGATCTGCCAGCCTCAGGCTAGCTGTTATAGCCATACAGTATGGAACAGAAATGATCTGTCTGCACTGAGCCCTGCCCAAATTGCAGATTTGTGAGCAAAACGAATGCTTATTGTTTTAAAATTTTATGTTCCTACATGATTTGTTACAAAGGAATAGACAAAAAGAACATCTTCCCTAAAGAACTGGATTCTAAACCAGTGTCTCAGACAAGTAGCTTCTGCTCTGAACTACTGTGGTTTCCTGTTTTCCAACTTCTGATCTTTTATATGACCCACGGCGTTCTGTTCTCTTTTCCTTCTGCTCCAGAATAATCCTGTCCTTCTAGAGAACTTACACTGCTATTTGTAGAAAGCACTTGTTCTTCAAATCTGTATGTGTTCAAAGCGTATTCCCATCACAGCTCTATTAACTGACTTCTATACTGCTCTGTTTCCCTCCATTACACTCCATGGGCTCTACATGTTAATCATTGTCTCTTGCTAAGTTTTCTAACCTACACACTCTACTTTGTCATCTATTTTCTCTGCTTAGGTAATGTTCTATTTACTGGCTATAATTTTTACCCATGTTAGCTTTTTAAACTCACGTTAATATTGGAGTCTTTATTTAAAACTTCCACCAATTCTGCATCACTGAATCAGTTAAGATTCCCTCATAAAGTCAAAATCATGCCAGTTATTTGGATACAGAGAGTTTAATATATATTTACACATACCGAGATCCTAATTTGATAACTGTATCAGTCAAGTCTCTCCAGAGAAACAGAACCAAAACCTCTTAGTAGATTTATTTCAAGGAACTGACTTACACAATTGTGGGGACTAGTAGATCTGAACTCCGATGGAGTCTTGAAGCAGAATTTCTTCTTCTTCCAGGAAACCTCGAGTTTCGCTCCTACAGTCTTTCACCTGAGTGGACGAAG